TTAATCCACCGTAAAACATTTTCTCCCGTGGAGAATGAGAACTTGATATTTTTCTTCGCTGTAACTGGCCATTCTTACTTCTGTTATACCTGAAATAGTTCCATGAAAAATCCGTGCCGTTGAACTTACCTAGGAAAGCTGTTGGTGAGACAGCGCCCTCTCGGATAGCGACGATGATTGTGATACCAGTCTCCAAAAATGGAACCGTGAAATCTACTGCTTCGTTCCGTTCAGGGGTAATTTTCATCGATGTCATTATAAAATCTGCTTTCTTGTCAAGAATTGATCGCACCAAACCATTCCATTCACCATTTGGTTGCTGTCAGTAAGAAAGATTTTAGAATTAGCTTGAAAATATTACAAAAAAACTCCCTCCCCTCCAAAAACAAACAAACCACAAAACAAAAGAACAGGGATACGTAAAGTGTAGTGACGATGAAACTTTTTAGCTTTCTCTGGTAGCGATTGAAGCAAATTTAAGTATTCATTGAGTTGGCTTCTTAAAATTATTTCATCCCAAGCAAGACGATATTGCCACTAGGATGCTGGGGGCTACAGGGAGTGAGGAGAAAGGACAATAAAAAACGGAATTCAAGAAGACAGAAGATGGCGTTTGACGTTGCATTTTTGAAGATTTTAGGTTACAAAGAAGCAAGAAATCGGAAGGTAGTTCCACAGGCGAGAAGTGTGAGAAAAGAAACTATTACAATAGAAGTGGCGGTTGCATCTAGCTAGTTCAACAGTTAAAAAACGAGACCTAACTGCCAATCTAGTCACACGCTTCAATTCATGTAGTCGAGTCTCTAATGAGAACAGGTCACCAGATTAGTTGCCATGGAAATATTTATAGGAAAGACAAAGGGAAGCCCCGTCATGTCGGTGAGAAAGTGACTGGAGACAAGATGTTTTCGTTAGGATCTTCGGATTTTGTCAAGGATTTCGAGATGTACAGCAGGAGACCCAGACCAGATATGGCAACAGTATTCAATGCATGGACGAATGGTAGATTTATAAGTGTGTAGGATGGACTCTGATGAGAAAAATTGTCTGTCACGATACAGTGAGCTAACTTTCCTAGCAGTAGACATGACAGTTAATTAAACGGAAACACTCCACTTCATGTCAGGGAAAGTGTAATCCTCCAAAAGCGCCAAGCGTTCCTAATAATTTAGCTGTTTCATCTTTTGCATTTCTCTGTCATTGACTAATATATATATATATATATATATATATATATATATATATATATATATATATATATACACATACAGTGGGGGAAAATAAATATTCGTACACATGAACATTTGTATTTTTAGAAATGTAAAAGCCTTAACTAAAGACAAATATTGATACATTTTTGTGTAAAGATACATTTTATTAAAAATAGTAATAAACTTAATTAATTCTTATTTTAACAGAAATTAATGCATTTTTTTCATTTTAATTGATGAAAAAAGTATTCGTACAAAACAAAAAAAGCATATTAACTTAATTGAATACTTTGTGGAATATCCTTTATTGAGTTCACCAGCTATCAGTCTATTCCTGTACGTTTCAACTAATGATTTGCACACATTAAGTGGTATTTTGTCCCATTCTTCTTGGCATATTGTCTTCAAATTCTTGATATTTTTGGTGTTTTTTTCCAATTTGAATTTTCAAATATCGCCATAAATTCTCGATTGGGTTCAAATCAGGGGACTGACTTGGCCATTGCAAGACATCAACGTTACTTTCAGCTAACCATTTCCTTGTAGATCTAGCGGTATGCTTAGGATCATTATCCAGTTGGAAAACCCAATCAGGAGGTAGCCGAAGTCTCTCAACAGAACGCATTAAATTGTCTTGCAGGATTTTCTGGTAGCTTTCGGCATTCATCTTGACATCTATTATTGATATTCTTCCAACACCTTTTGCAGAAAAACAGCCCCAGATCATGATACTGCCACCACCAAACTTTACAGTTGGTAACGTGTTCTTTGGTAAGTAGGCTTCACCATCCTTCCTCCACACATGATTTCGATAATTATGACCAAACAACACTATTTTAGTTTCATCTGTCCATAGTACTTTTTCCCAAAACGAATATTCTTTATCCTTATGCTCTCTAACGAATTTTAGCCTAGCATCACTGTGTCGTTTCAAGATGAGTGGAGTCTTCCTTGGGATGCGTGATTTCAGACTGTTTTTATGTAGTTCATTACTTATTGTACACTTGGTTACTTTAATCCCTAATGCACACAGATGTTCCTGCAGCTCTTCTCGGGTAACCTGTGGATTTTGTTGGATCTGGCGTCCTAATATCCTTGCTGATCTTAGAGAAATCTTCCTCTGAGCACCTGTTCGTGTTTGGTTTTCGACGCTGTTACGAGTTTTAAACCTTGCAATGAACGAAGCAATTGTAGTAAAACGAATATTCAGGTTATTAGAAATCGTTCTGTAACTGTTCCTATCTTTCCAAAAGAGACAAAATGTGTTGTTTTTGAGAAATAGTCAATTC